AGCCGTGACCGTTATGGAGGCGGACGCCGAACATCTCGAGATGGGGGCCGAGTCCCTGCCGAGCGCGGACGAGGCCGCGGCTGCCGCCTTCGCAGGTCAGCATGCCGCGCGCATGCGCAAAACGCTGCGCCCCCCCCCTCCTCCGACCAGTCCTTCGAGCCTTGTTCTGACAATCACGGGCGGGCGGCGTGTTTATCTCAGGTGGCGAGTGGTTTGTGAGAATGGCCCTCTCCCGAGTCAGTATGACAAGTTGCGTATTTCAAACGCCACACTTTTCTTAATCCAAACACCTTTCTAACCTGGGTCCCCAAGTGTACAGAAATCATGCTATCGACGTGAACGTGTGAATCGAGCCAAATGCACAGTGAATTGCCAGCCATCCCCACTGCACAAAGTCTGGTAACACTTTGAAGACTCTCCACACTGCCCCGTTTTATTTCTATCGTTCCCTGTCTCTGGCAAGGCTGCTGTCCATTTGACAGGCAGAAATCTTAACAAATGTGGGTTTCCCTTCATTATGTCGTTGTCATCACTCCAGGGAAGCTGACCTTGTTGTGTTTCTGCTTGTCAGTACAGCCGAAAAAACAGACTGGGATGTGGCAACACAAACACATTGAATTTTAAGCTAGTTAGTTACCCATATGTGCTTTTTGCATGTCTCATTCTGGAGGATCAGGGCTGATTGTACAAAACACCGTGTTTCCCCAATAATAAGACAGGCTCTTATATTAATTTTTGCTCCAATAAACACATTAGGGCTTATTTTCAGGGGATGTTTTATTTTAAAGTCATGTCATTTTCTGGTTGCTGCACAATGGTGGAGGGCGGGTTTTCACTTAACTGGGGCTTATTTGGGGGTAAGTGCTTATATTACAAGCATCCTGAACAATCATACTAGGGCTTATTTTCAGGTTAGGTCTTATTTTGGGGGAAATAACATCTCTACTTGCTAACAGGCAGATGCACAGCTCATTTCCATGTATGCCAAAAAGGTAATTCGCAGTGAGTTCAATGGGACTTATTCCTTCATGCACTATTATGATGATGATGATGCCATATTTGTCCCAACAAGAGACCCAAAGCGGCTCACATCATTAAAATTCACACAATTAAAAATACAATAAGTTAAATATTAAAAGACAAATTAAACAATATATGGAATAAAATAAAATTGAAAGATGAAAACATGAAAAAAGTTAAAAACTATCTGCTAAAATGGGGTTCAGGGATTCAGTTATAATTGTTAAAAGCCTGCCTGAAGAAACGGGTCTTTAGCTTTTTATAGATTTCAGGTTTGATAAAGTAGGCTGAATTAGTACGGTAGGACTTATTCCTAATTCAGCATGTGTAAGATTTTATTCAAAATAGTGTACACTACAATGTTGTGTAAGATTTTATTCAAAATAGTGTACACTACAATGTTGCTCAATGAATCACTTAATTATTGGATTTTAAAAAGTGAAAGAAAATGTTCTAAATTAGTATTGTAAGGGATAATTTTCCTGACCACTCTATGTGACCCCCCCCCTTTACCTTGGCCACCTTACAGATGATCAGGATTCTGGCGGTTTACTTACATACTCCATGAATATGCAATTAAAAAAAATAGAAATGTACATCTGGGGAATTACATCGGCATGTTCAGATCTAGTACTGGTGTCACATAATCAAAACAAAAATATGATTGCCTAAGTTTATTTGGGTCGTATTTTACAGAAGTGACCACTGTAACAGTTGCCAACGTGGGTGCCTCTGCAGACAACGTATTCACAACTTCAGTGGCAAATGCAGCATCTATCTCTGGGCATGTGCTGGTAAGGTCAGGGTTAGTTCATCTCCTTCTAATTTTGTTTTCACATAGTCACTATTTCACTTGTAATAAGTAGCAGAAACAGAAGTGTAGGGGCGACAATATAACCCAAGTCGTACTGGTGTAGTTTTAGCTACATGTTATCAAGAATACCAGAAGAAATCTATTCCTCTGCTTATAATTCATTGAGGAATCATCTCCTACATGTCATGTAGAACCCTCTGTAATTTTTCCTGTAGTCTGGAAGAACAGCTCTTCAGATTGGAGATGGCTTGAATGCTGAGAAAGCCACTCTGATTGTGGTTCACACAGATGGCAGCATTGTAGAGACTGCTGGGCTAAAGGGAGCATCTGCACCTCTTACACCAGGTATGATGTGCCTCACAGGGTTTCTTAAAATGTCATTCCAGGATTTTCATTTCATATCTTTCTGTAGGTACGAGTTCAGTTCTTACGGTTGAGAAGTGGAGCCACTGTACTCTATTAAAAGTCATTTTTTGCTTGCCATCATTCTGTTAATTGGAGTCTGTTGTTGTTTGTTTTGTTTTTGTTTGTTTGTTATTTTGCTATTTTCTTCTGTACCTAAGTGACAAATACCTGCATTTCCTTTTCTTTGGGATGGTTTTTGTTGCTGCCTCCTGTACAGTGTTACGAGCCTCTATCCAAAGTTCTTCAGGCACTCTGTCCACCAAATCTAGTTCCTTAAATCTGTTCTTTACTTCCACTTTGTATTCATAAGGGATTTGGTTTAGAGTATATCTGAGTAGCCCAGTGGTTTTTCCTACTCTCTTCAGTTTAAGCTTGAATTTTGCTATGAGATGCTGATGATCAGAGCCGCAGTTATACAGTATTATAAAATCAGTAAATCAGAACTAATTCAGAGCTTAATGTGTGAAATATATTTTCTGCTTTTATGCTATTGCATTCATGTTGATCTTGCAGTGATTCTAATGTGGATCCTCGGAGGAGAACTGTATTATGGTAACAGCATGAGTGCTGTTGACTTCTAGGGAATGGTAGTGATTACTTTGGAAGGATTTATGTATTGCATCCTCTCCCCACCCCCATCCCTGTGATTTCTGCATTTCATACAGCCCTCAGATAGTCAATCTGCTGTTCAGAGGTTTGTTCTCGCTTGTTTTGGCTTATTTACTTTGAGAATCCATTCCTTGTCTCCCCCTAGGAAAGGCAAGAAAAAAAAACCTGAGCACATTGTGTGACTTAGCTTTCTTTCTGTTAATCTGCAGGGCCTCAGTCCCCTCCTACTCCTTTAACATCTGGACAAGAAAAAGGGGGAACAAAATATAACTGGGACCCTTCAGTGTATGACAATGAGCTGCCGGTACGATGCCGAAATATCAGTGGAATCCTGTACAAAAATAGACTTGGCTCAGGTAGAGTTTTTTTTCCCTTTCATCCTCAAGGATGATTAGTAATCCATCACTTACACTGGACCCTCGACTTACAGACGGCTCGACTTACAGACTTTTCGAGTTACAGACTTCTCTGGCTGCAAAATTTAGATTCGACTTGCAGCCAGAGAATCGACTTACAGACCAGAAAAAAACCAAAATGGTATAAAAATAGAATAAAAACCACTGGTTATGGGATTAATCGGTTTTCAGTGCATTGTAGGTCAATGGAGATTTGACTTACAGACTTTTCGACTTGCAGCCACCATTCCAATATGGATTAATTCCTTAAGTAGAGGGTCCACTGTATTATTCTCGAGATTTAACATAATAAGCAATAAAATGAAGAAGTAGAGAGGGCACCTGCAGTTATAATAGTTGCCATGAACAGAGGACTTTAGCAGGTACAGCTTGCCTCGGAAGCCCCATCTTCTGAAATTCCCTATCCCATTCAACTGTTAAAGGAGCCTTGTACATTGCCACCCTGGTGGGCATTGTTGCCTATTTTCTTATTCAAATGACTAGGCTAGGCCATGTCTGCATGGTGTTGGCCTCACACAATCCCATCTCTGGGATATACTTTGCTTGTAATCTTGTATTAGTGGAGGCATGAGAATGCTGCTTAAGAATTTCCTAGTCCTTCTCACTGCTGCAGCCCCTGCATGACTCACAAAGCCATAATTTACAGAAGGACCTGGTGCTGGATCCAGAGCTGGTTATATTAGGAAGGAAGGTGTGGACAATACCTAAGTGCTGTATTGGATGCAGTCAATGAGACCCTTCAAGAACTATCTGATAGCCTTTATGGGCCATTGCCCTGCTCTCAGTATTTTATCATCATAGTAGAACTGCAAAGCTGGAAGGGACTCTATGGATCCTTGACTCCCTGTCAAGGAGTCACAGTGTAGAATCAAACCTCCAACCACTGGCTCTGCAGCCAGATGCCTAAACTACTGAGCTGTCCAGCAGTCTCGTTCTGACTTCATGAAAGAAGCCCAACCAACCATTATGATTGCTGTTGGTGAATGCGAGATTGCATGATGCCCTGATCAAATCTGGGAGGCCTTTCTTGTGCTTAAGTAGGTTCTAATATGAGTATCTCTTCTTAAGATCTGCAACTGAATCCAATGTTTCCAGGATGGCAGTGCAGAGGAGAAGATAACTGATGAAAACCAGTGCAGTTTGCTGTCCTAGAATGTATTAAGTGCAGTAAGCTTGTTTTTTCAGGGTTGAGGTTGGTTGAACAAATTGAAATATTTATTACTTAGAGAAAAATACCGTACTGCACCGATGCAGAAAGCTTTTGGTCCTACCAATGTTTTGGGCTGCCTCTCCCACAATCCTTCACTACTGGCCATGATGGCTAGAGTGTTTAGGAATGAAAATCTAAAAAATTCGACTTGGCAAAGGTTTGCCACCACTGCCATTGTTTCCCCTGAGTTTCTCTAAATGTTTTAAATGACTGTTCCCATTATCTCTCACTAGTGGCAATTCTGAATGGGGCAGTTGGGAACTGTAGTCCAAAACATCGGACAAGGCTCTGTGTGGGGGTGCTGTGCTAAGCCTTTTGGTGTGCCCAAACTGGCTCATGCAACTAGTAGAGGAAACTGTCTGAAGTTATGAATCAAAACTTGATTCCTTTGTTCTGCCCTGTTCAAGGTGGTCGGGGACGGTGTATTAAGCAGGGAGACAACTGGTACAGCCCTACAGAATTTGAAGCTATGGCTGGAAGAGCCAGCAGTAAGGACTGGAAAAGAAGCATCCGCTATGCTGGGAGGCCAATACAGTGCCTTATTCATGTAAGATGAGACTTCTTTCTTACTCTGCTAAGAGAGTAGAATTTTCATCAATGAAAGTACAGAGGAGTTAGACCCAGTGAAAGATTGATTGTTTTTTCCCATCGTCGTCGTTCAGTCGTGTCCGACTCTTCGTGACCCCATGGACCAGAGCATGCTAGGCCCTCCTATCTTACACTGCTTCCCGTAGTTGTGTCAATTTCATGTTGGTTGCTTCGCAGACACTGTCCAACCATCTCATCCTCTGTCGTCCCCTTCTCCTCTTGCCTTCACACTTTCCTAACATCAAGGTCTTTTCCAAGGATTTTTCCCATAAAGGACCTTAATCCTTAATCTAGTCAGTAGGGCAGAGCTGAGCAGTGAGAAGCAAGGTGAGATAGTCTTGCTATATCTCCTACACAAGGAGCTGTGAAGGTGCTGTGTGTGGCCCTGCATCGTTTGGGAGTGAGAGAAGGGGTCAGGTTGTTGCTGTTGCTTCAGTTCAGGGTGAGACAAGCTCCCCTTGCTTGGAAGATTAACAGAATAGGGCTTTGTTTATGCTAGTGTTGGAAGGTTTAAGGCTGCCCTATATGCTATGCAGAAAAGATAGGGATAGGTGTCTTAGTGTATTTTGGACAAAATTCCTCACCCCCAGTCTTGCTCTTTCCCCCCAATTCAGGATGGTATATTAAATCCTCATGCTGCCTCTTGCACCTGTGCTGCTTGTTGTGATGATATGAGTCTGGTGAGTATAATCTGCTGATCCAAAACCTGAATCAACTTAGTAACGCTATAGTAAATTTCTATATGTTCAGGTTATGAGCTCCTCAAGAAAGGAAAGACTTTTAATGTGGTGGGTTGAAGAGTACATTTTTTGCTAGGTAAAAGAAGAGAATAAATTACCACTTCAGATATACATGCAAAGGCATCCTTTTTATGACTGGGATAGCTAAGGTTTTAGATGGAGGACACAAAAAGTGTGTGGCTATATATTTAAATAGCCACATACTGCAATATTTTCATATACGTGTTCTAAAATTAGCAATATACATATATTGCTTATTTCAAAAAAGTAAAAGCTGTAGATCAAGAATGGGGAGTATGTGCCTCCAACTACTGCAGTCATTCATTGCCGCTGATCTTGTTGGCTGAGACTGATAGAAAATAGAGTCAAACTACATCCCGAAGGGCACACATTCCCCAGCCCCATTCTGTGTGGTTTTTTGTAAATTGAACTAACCTATTTTTATCTCTGTATTAATGGATTAAGCTGCTACTATCTTCAAGCAGACCTTAATAAGAATATACTTGAGTTGTTTACTATGGTTACCAGAAGTAAACTAAGGAAAATTTCTAGAAGGTATTGGTTCCGCAGTGTAGAGGTAGCAATAGAAAAAGCCCTGTACCCTGAGAATTTTTGAGCCATACACTTAATAACTGTAGGCTACTTTCCTCAGGGCTGCTACATAAAACCTTATCCTGAGAAGCAGACTACCCCCCCCCCTTTTAAAAATTCTTCCATGTCTCTGATTTCACTAAAATGAAAGTTGTGGTGCCTTGAAAAATGCAGTCACATGGAATGAAAATAGTTTGGAACGCAGTAGTTCTAGTATAGGAGATACCTTGTATGTTTCAGCAGTAATAACACAAGATGCAAGAACAGTACACTAAGGAACCATTTTTAAAATGAGGATTTTTAAACAGTTGATTTATAGTTTATCTGGTAGCCTACTTTATTTCATATCAGAATCTAGGACTGAAGTGTGGTAAAGACAAAACTAAACGGTCCTTTGTCTCTGATTTCACTAAAATGAAAGTTGTGGTGCCTTGAAAAATGCAGTCACATGGAATGAAAATAGTTTGGAACGCAGTAGTTCTAGTATAGGAGATACCTTGTATGTTTCAGCAGTAATAACACAAGATGCAAGAACAGTACACTAAGGAACCATTTTTAAAATGAGGATTTTTAAACAGTTGATTTATAGTTTATCTGGTAGCCTACTTTATTTCATATCAGAATCTAGGACTGAAGTGTGGTAGAGTTAAGACAAAACTAAACAGTCCTTTTGGTGTGAAGATAAGGTCTTTCCCTTCATCCCACCATTGTTAGGACACAGTTGATAAAGGCATTGTTTCAGAGATGAGACGGTGGATTTCATTGTGGAAGTTTGGTGAGGCAATTCGTGAAAGACTATACAAACTCTTTGCATCTTGTTAGCTTGTGTTAGCTTCATGTTCATTTTGTAAAACAAGGCTGAGCAAGTGTTCTGTAGACATAGGATAAGGCAAATAAATGTAAGTAGGGACAGAGCAAAGATGGTTTAATAAAGGTAGTTTTCTGATTTTCAGAGTGGGCCTGTAAGGCTATTTGTTCCTTATAAAAGACGGAAAAAGGAAAATGAGTTGCCTACAACTCCAGTGAAGAAGGATTCCCCTAAAAATATTACATTGCTTCCTGGAGCTGCTGCTACTACATGTGAGTTGTAATCATCAGTTTACATGTATACACTTTACTGCAGTTCTTATGTGCTGAAAGAAAATGTAAAAGCTTTTCTCACAGCCTACTCTTTGGCAGATAAGCAGAGAGTCTTTGCTTAAGGTGTAGCAAAGCTGTCACCAGTCTCTCTTCACTCCTTCTATACAACACCAGGACACATGGCTGTTGTGGGGATATGTTTCTGTCCCTCTGGCCAGGAAGTTCAATAAATAAAAAAATCCAAGCCCTACAGGCTTGCTTCCCCGTTTCTCAACTGAGGAAGTCTCTGGTAGATGTGCAAAGCAGATAAAGCAATGAGCAGGTTTGATTTTTATCTAAGAAGGAGTTAAACCTTATTACCTATTGAACAATAATGATTACAACTATTTTTTTTTTTTTAAAGAATGTTTGGGCAGAACTTCATTTAAAGACAATGCAATTATGTCTGTTTGACCAACCTAGCATTAATATCCATCAGAAGTACTTCACTCACCTATAATTAGGTGGCCCCTGCCTTATTCACACTCATGCAATTTCCCTTTGTCCTTGTGAACTGTTATCCTGTTTCTCAGTCCCAAGTCCTTCTCGTCTCATGGTCACACAGGAAGAGAGGAAAAAGAACTTCCTTGCTGGTAGTTTAAAGATGCCTGCATAAGTCTTAAACTACCAGCACATGATTCCTGGCACCACTGACCATTTATCTTCTCATGCTAACAATATCTTATTTATTTATTTATTTATTTAATTTATACCCCGCCTATCTGGCCCACCGGACCACTCTAGGCAGCTTCCAAATATAAAATCAAATAATAAAACATAGACAAATACATAATAATCAAACAAGAACAGCAGTAAAGATAAAAAGGAAAAGTAAGAAAAAAATCAAGAGTTGGCTGGAGGGAAGGCCTGAATAAACAGCCATGTTTTTAATTGGGTTTTAAAGGTGCCCAGCGTGGGGGCCGCGCGAATCGCCGGAGGGAGATTGTTCCATAGGCGAGGAGCCACCGCCGAGAAGGCCCGGTTTCGTGTCTTCTCCTTCCGGGCCTCTCTTGGCGTCATGCTCCTCAG